TGTGTGTGTGTGTGTGTGTGTGTGTGTGTGTGTGTGTGTGTGTGTGTCTGTGTGTAGCCAGAGGTCAAACTCAGTGTCATTCCTCAGGAACCATCTTACCTTACACTGGGAACCTGGGCTCATCATTTAGGCTGGCTGTGACCAACAAGCCCACAGAATCCATCTGTCTCTATTTCTGCAGCACCATTCATGAGGATGTTAGGGCTTAAACTCAAACCTGCATGTTTTTATCCAGCTGAGCTATCTCAACCAAACCCTCAGCTTTCACAAAACTGACAGCTGACAGACTTATATACATAAATATCTTTTTATACTGCTAATGACTGCTAAATATTCGTATGTCATGGTGTATATTTTTATTTCTTCAATATTGAGATTATAATATAATTACATCATTTTCCCTTACTCTTTTCTTCCTCCAAAATTTCCTATGTACCCTTCTTTTCTCTCTTTCAAACTCATTGGAATAGCATTTTTATTTTTGTACATTTTTAGTAATGCAAATGTGTGCATAGTATATTTTCTTACAAGTGACTGCTACTAAAATTTTACTTTTATTGTGATGTGTTAACTAAATATATTGACAGAAACCAATTAATGATGATGGTTTTGGGACCAGAATTCTGGACAGTAGGCACCATGTACAGTATTTAATGAATGAAGGGCCTAAAACATTTAAAGTGCGTTAATACAGAAATAGTCCTGAGAATTCAACTAAAAGACACGACAAAATATTTATAGTAAGACTCTCTTAATAACAATGACTTTTGCTTCTTGATAGTTTATTAATTTTTTAAGATTGTTATAAATGTATTCTTTTGCATTTAATATGTTTCAAACAGCAAATTAGTAAATTGTGCATATGATGACATCTGTAGTCTGAAGTTAATGGTTCTTTGCAGTTCTTGTTTATGTTTCCATAACATTAAAACGGTTATTTAAGGGGGAAATCTGCACCCTGCAGTTTGTGATTACAACAAAAAGAAGAGGTTTATTTTGTCAAGATATCATTCATTGTTGTTCTGGCCCTTCAGCAGATAACCATGCTTTAAATTACCTATTTTTAAGAGTGTGAGCTTGCAGAATGTACGTTATATGATAAGAGGAGCCATTATGCTTCTAAAAAAAACTGAGTAAATATTGAGACTGTTTGTCTGGCTGGAAGAAATAAAGTAGATCGATTAAACTTTTCTTTCCTTTTGGGTACCAAATATTCTTTATTCCTTAGTTCACATGAATGACCATTTCTATTTGTGCATTTTGTAGAAAATCTCTGATTAACACACTTCCTTCAATAGTTTATTTTTCATGACAGAAAAGTAATATTTGATATGCTAACTGTTAATGGTATTTTTTGGTACACTGCCCCTAAGCAAACTTAAGAACAACCAATGTATATAAATCACTGAGAAAACAAGAAATGTAAATATTCCCTAAGACTTGTGTCTTACAGGTAGTTCAGACCTACCATAATCCATGTGTTCAATTTATTGATAACACTGAATTGTACTTTTATGCATTAATGAGTAAAAATAAACAGCTAAATAAGGTCCAACTAAATAAGAGCTTGTCTCAAAGACTAAAACAATGTCCGGTCCTGCAGTTCTGTGATGGAGTGCTGTGCTAGCACGCCACAGCTTCAGTCTTTAATATTGACATGGAGAGGGGGTTGGTTATCTTGAGTAATCTCTAATTTGGGGGGTTCAATATTGTGACCACTGTATCCTAGACAAGGACAAAAGTCACCATTGCTTTTTTTGTTTGTTTCTTTGTTTCTGATGAGCCTCTTGTATAATAGCCTACATATGAATGAGGTTCCACATTCATTCTCCAGCAAAACAGAAATTTAAGTTAGACTATTATTGCTCCAAAATTAAAGAGAATAAATAAAGATTATTCTCACCCATTGTTTCATTGTTTTCAAAGAGTTGGATTCTCTCTCTCTCTCTCTCATTTTCTAAAACTTAAAACTATTAAAATTGAGATTTAAGGTTTTATATGTTATTGTTGAGGGGAGGGTGTGATGGTATGTTCCTGTCATGTGATGACTGATGATTGTATGCCTTTCCTCTATAGGCATAATGTATCAGAAGGTCCAAGAGATTACGAAGGTTTTTGAGAAGTTCCGCAAGGAACAGGAGAAGAACATGAAGACTGCCTTTTAATACCTATTGCTCCAACCTGCTCCATTTGGATTATTCATTTACCCTGATGCTATTAAATAGAGTAGTGTTTACTTTTACCTCTTAATCTTTGATTGCAATAATTTGTGCATGTGTTCGAACAGTTTTCATTTAAATACTGTGAAAAGAAGTATACATTTTTTTTTCTTTCATAATGAAGTAAGATCAGGACTGAGGGCCTAGCTTAGTTATAGAGCCTTACCCAAAATGAAGTAAAAGGTATTTTAGCTCCCTTGCCCAGACAGATGCTTATGAGGTATTGCTTTTGTGTTACAATCTCTATTTTACTTACTTAGATTCTATATACCATCACCAGTACCCACCAACTTCCTACTGCAGCTTCATTGTGGGAAGATGTTTGGCAAAATGCACATGCCAAACAGTCTTGGCTGAGCATTTGCCATTCCCCTAAAATGCTAGAAACTGCAGAGCCTAAGTGAAATTTGCTGTCTACTCTGATATGTAATTGAACAATTTGGGCAATGAAAAGAAGTGTCTCATGAGTTAGAGCAAGTGTCTTTAGGGACAAGTGTCAGAGAAGTTACGGATTAAGGATTTTAATTAGGGATTTAATGTTTCTTATGGTACTAAAGATCAAACCCGTGCCACGCTCTTGGATTATATACCCAGCACTATATAAATACCTCAGTGTTTTTTTTTAATCAAGATTTTACTGTATAGCCTAGGCTGGCTTGGAACTTACAATCCTTCCTGCCTCAGTTTTCCAGGTGCCACCACACCTAGGTATCCTAGTGATTTTTATCATTTGTTTTGTTTTAGCATATGATATAGCGCTGTTTTGTGTGACTTTTTATGTTTTTAAAGAAAAAAACCTTATTCTTAGCTTTTAAATATCTTCATCTCTTGTGTTTCCTTAAAGTCACTAATAATGCGATGTCCTAAAAATGAAAATAAACTGATTAAAAGATTTTAAATGACTGAACTGATTTTTTGTCCAGATCACACATGGCTTCATTAAAGGGATCATGTCACAGAAAAATATAATTTTTTAAATGACTACTTGTGATGGTAAGTTCTGAGTATAATAAATACTAGAACATAATGGTTTCACTTCCTGTTCAAATGTTTCCATGAAATGCCTAGTTATTTCAGTAAGTTTTTGCCACCACTCAAAATTATAGAGTATGAACTAGACCTGGTAGCAGAGGCCTATAATCCCAGCCACCTAGAAGGCTGAGACAGAGGGGAACAGATTCAAGGCTAGCATGAGTCCAACTAAATAAGACCATGTCTCAAAGACTAAAACAATGTCCGGTCCTGCAGTTCTGTGGTAGAGTGCTGTGCTAGCACGCCACAGCTTCAGTCTTTAATATTGACATGGAGAGGGGGTTGGTTATCTTGAGTAATCTCTAATTTGGGGGGTTCAATATTGTGACCACTGTATCCTAGACAAGGACATTGCTTTTTTTTTGTTTGTTTCTTTGTTTCTGATGAACCTCTTGTATAATAGCTTACATATGAGTGAGGTTCCACATTCAGTAAAGACAATATAATATTTTATTTAAGTTTATGGTTTTAAACGTCTATTTGTCTAATTTACTGGAGAGAAAAAAATCATCTTAGGCAACATTTTTGTACAAAAAGGAAACGTGGGGTCATTTGGTTTTGCCAACTGTTTTCTGAGAGTAAACTTTTTTTTAAGTTTTCAAAGTTTTGTGATTCTCTTATTCCTTTTTAAATACAAGCAGAGGATATTTTGCAAACTTTCTATAAAGAGAGGAAGCTAAAGTCCTATTTACACTGTCTTTTGTGTTACCTTTACTGGAATTTGGAGTACTTTTTACCACTGGTACATAAAAGATCTGAAAAATGGCAAGTAGCTCCCAGGTTCATGCAGTAACCAAGTATCTTGTCTGAAATTTAGAACCTCAGACAATTTAAATTTAAATCTACCCAAAAGTATATTTGATGCTGGTTCTAACTTGTCTAAAAGAAATGACATTGCTTAAACCAATACTAACTTTTAAAGATCAGAAATAACCCATTTTGCCAATAATACCAAGGGAACTATTGTTATCAAGTTCAAGTATTAACTGAAGGAGAGCTCTTACATTTGTAATGTTATGGCCCCTTCTCAACACACAGCCATTTTTCTCCTTTAAGAAGGAATTTCAGGTGTCCACCTTAGGCTCCATAACCCCACCCTCCACCTGCACTGCTAGGAGTCTTACCTAGGCTCACCTTCATAGACTCCTATGTCCCAGAGATGTCCTCCCATCTATTTCCATTTTGTATCTCAGCCCTCTCTCCCCCTGCCCACCCTGCTCTCCCCACACCAGATCCCCACCTTGTCCCTCTTCCCACTCCTCTCCCACCCAGGTCTCTCCCTCCATCTACTTCAGATGTCTATTTTATTTCCCCTTCTTGGTGAGATTCAAGCATCCTCCCTTAGGCTCTCCTTGTTACTTAGCTTCTTTGAGTCTGTGGATTGTAGCATGGTAATCCTGTACTTTATGGCTAATATCAGCTTATGAGTACATGTGACAGACTATTTGGAGTTGATTGCCAAATTGGAGTGCACATCTGAGCAGTGTAATTTGGTCTGTTGGCCCTGGCTCTAATCTAAAGCTCGGTGTCCCAGAGACTGACCCTGACAGTTCTACAGCAGAAGTCCCAGAGACTGACCCTGACAGTTCTACAGCAGAGGGCTCTGACCCTGAGAACTAGACAATAAATTCCGTGCAACCAGGGTAACCAGAGAGCAGGTTCTGTGTAACCTTGAGTGAGCCCTCAAATGTTTTGGCCAAGTAAAGTTGCCTCCGTGAGAAACTGCTTGTACTTTCCTGCTATTTAAGTGTTAACCTGACATTCAGTAAATGACACATTGATCAGAACCTAGACTTGGTGTCCTTCTTTGTGTCGCCCTGTCTCTTTCTCTCCAGCCTTCACTCAGGTGGTATTCAGGTGTCACTGCAGGGCATTGACAGATGGTGCTGAAACCAGATGTATCAAAGCAGATGCTGAAACTCATAGCCAAACTTTGGTCAGAGTGCAGGGAATCTTATGAAAGAAGTGGAATTAGAAAGACCTGGAGGGGACAGGAGCTCCATAAAGAGAGCAACAGAACCAAAAGATCTTTTCTGAGACTGATACTCCAACCAAGGGCCATGCATGAACATATCCTAGAACCCCTGCAAAGATGAAGCCCATGGCAGCTCAGTATCCAAGTGGGTACCCTAGTAATGGGAACAGGGACTGTCTCTGACATGAACTCAGTGGCTGGCTCTTTGATCACTTTTCCATGAAGTGGGGAGCAGCCTTACCAGGCCGCAGAGGAAGACAATGCAGCTATTCCTGATGAGACCTGATAGGCTAGAGTCAGATGGAAGGGTAGGAGGACCTCCTTTATCAGTGAACTTGGAGAGGGACATGGGAGGAGATGAAGGAGGGAGGGTGGGATTGGAAGGGAATGAGGGAGGGGGCTACGGCTGGGATACAATGTGAATAAACTAATTTATTAAAAAATGAATTTAAAAAAGAAAATGGAATAGCTAGTATACCTTAGTTTGGCAGAGCTAGAAGTACAATGGCATTCCCTGTAGTGAAATTTTCTAGACATCTCTTGGTGCCTACCACTTGGGTTGTCTGCAGTTATATACAGATACACAGAACACTTCATGACCTTGCTTTCCACTTGCAATTCCACATCCATGGAACTGTATTTTAGCCATTCTTTCTCCTCTCATGCTACCTAGGAGATTTGTTATGTAGTGTGTGCATCACTCCAGTGTCAATAGACTCCTTTACTAGAACTGTACAAATTTACGGTGATGAAAAAAATGTTCCATCCAACCAGGAAGTCAAGCATATTAACAACCTTGGTATGTTTTCCATTTTCCTCTCTACAAATTTGTCAGGTGGACAGTTTGGCTGAGCAACAGTGTTAAGCCCTACCACCTTAGAGAATATGCCTAACTCACAGACTGATGTGACCCACATTTTGTTAATACATACATTCAGTTTTATTCTATGTCAGAGCTACAAAGTGATGTGTTTTATATTTGCATTTATTTATCAGTGTGCTTCTAGAGCACTGGCATTTGCATTTGGTAGATTTCAGCTAACTTTAATACCTGTCACGATATTTTAAGTCTACTAGAAAAGTTCTCAGAAAGTACAAAATTATAAAGATTTCATTTTGTTCCTTTAGCTGCTCTTTGGTCTTATGCTGACTTGAACATGACAGTATGAAGGAGTTTGAACAAGCCTGAACTTACTCGATAACCTTGGAATATTTAAATAACCACCCTGTCATGAAAAAGCTTTAAAATCATAGAGCTTCACTGTTGCCTATTTTTCTGAAGCAGTGGTTCTCAACCTTCCTAATGCTGTGACCCTTTATACACAGTCTTGCTGATGCCCCAACCATAAAATTATTTTCGTTGCTACTTCATCACAGTAATTTTGCTACTGCTATGAATTGTGGATATCTGATATGCAACCCCTGTGGAAGGGTCGGTCAACCCCAAAAGGGGTCATGACCTACAGGTTGAGAACTGCTGATTATCCTCATTTTACGTAAGAGGAAGCTGAATTAAACTAGTCAAATAAATTTACTGAAGTTTATATTCCACTAACTTACCAAAACAAAATTTTAACATGCAGATTGGTGTAAAATTTTAACATGCATATTGGTTATCATATATTTTCAGCAACTGAGAACTGAAATCTCAACCCAAATATTATGAACCCAAAGCTCACAAGATATTTTTTCTTACCTGATTCCTGATATAAGAAAGTTTCTATTTAATTAAAAAAGAAATCAACTAGGTGAGACAGTCATATAGTTAAAACTTGAAAGGATATAAGGGCATGCTTGGCACACACCTGCAATCCCAATATTTGGGAGGCTCAGTCATGAAGATCACACATTAAAGGCCAGTCTGAGCTACATACAAAACCCAGTAGCAATACAATGACAAAAATGAGGGAGAGGACTACAGTTGAGATACAAAGTTAATAAATTATAATAAATAAAAAAAATAATAATAATAAATGAAAAAAATTTCAATAGGGACAAAACATGAAGAGTTGTATTTTTTTCTTTCTGTTCATGTCCTTCAATCATTGAATTCTGTTAACTGGATCTATTCACTGTCATACATTTTCACAGAAATATCTCATGCATATTCAGGCACATATATATTCCATCTTTTTCACAAATGTAAATATACTATGTGTTATTTTGCAAGTATACTATATGTTATTCTGAAAATTGTTATTTTGCTAGGTATATTTTCAAGATTGTATTAATCCAGAGGACTTTATCACCTTTCATCATTACATAGATTCCATTGATAGTATTTGTATGTTTAAGCCCCCCCCCCCACAGGATTCTGCTACAGTCAGTTATTGAATAGTAATGCACATAAATTAGGATTATTATTATTATATTGAGGATTATTTGTAGATGTGTTAAATTGCCACTTTAAAGAAAATGTTTACTGTTGTTGTAAATTTTAAAAAAAAATGAGTGATGGACTATATAATGTTTATTATTGGCCATAACATTATTACAGTGCTATTATCTAACCCACTATCACAAATAATAAGACACAGACACCTGTTAGATTTTACAATTGTCTTGTTTACCTTGGGCCAGGCAGATATTTCACCTATGCTGTCTCAATAACCTCACCATCCATTTCCCAGCCCCCATCCAATACCAGCCACCTCAATCATCCTTATCTGGTCTGCTTTCCACCCATAATCCCAATATACTTACTTATATTTTTATCTTGGCGTTTTTTCCATCCACACTGTCCTTGGCATCTTTCCTCGTAGCCCACGTGGTTCCTTCTCCGTGCTAACCCATTGTTGTGTCCTCCTGCCTCCTCTCTTCCTGTCTTGTGATTCTCCTGTCTTCAAAAGCCCAGGAACCTTATCCATGCTTACCCCATTCTGCTTTGCCGAGGTATACGTGTTTAATCAGCCAATCAGGTAGATTTACACAACAAGGATAGGTGTACCCAGTCATCAATATAGAAACATCAGACCAACGCCCAATAGTGTATTTAAATTTCAGTAGTGACATCAAGTTGCTCTTAGTAGAGGTTGTACCCATTTATCCTCCTACCAGCAATATATGAGAGTGCTCATTTCACCAGAATGTTAGCAAAACAAATGTATTTTCATTTTGGCATCTTATCTTGTGTAGTAAGTAAAAATAATAAGTTTTCTTTTAGAATAGTTTCAGATTTAGATAAAAGCTTCATATTCCAGTGTTCCATACATATTCCACTCAGTTTCACTTACTGTTGACATTTTACACAACACAGTATATTTGTCACATCTAATGAACTTTATTAAATAAAAAAATATTGTTTATTTACATTTACTTAGATTTTTACCTAGTGTCCTCTTTTTGTTTCAGGATCCTACATTCCTGTGCCATTATATGTTGGAAGTATGTGCTCTCCTCCTCCTCCTCCTCCTCCTCCTCCTTTCCAAGACAGGGTTTTCTGTGTAGCCTTAGTTGTCCTAGAACTCTCTTTGTAGAGCAGGCTTGGCCTCAAACTCACAGTTACTCCTGCCTTTGCCTCCCTTAGTGCTGGGATTAAAGGCATGTGCCACCATGCCAAGCTTTGTGATCTGCTTTTTTATTTTGATTTTAAAGAGGGTTACAGGGGTTGGGGCTTTAGCTCAGTGGTAGAGCACTTGACTAGCAAGCGCAAAGCCTTCAGGTCCTCATCTCTAGAAAAAAAAAAAAAGGCAAAATAAAGAGGATTACAGTTAAGGGATTACAGGAATCTCAATAGAAAATTTTAACTTTGGAATTTTAAACAAGTTGAGACTGTTATAGACAATGGAAACTTTTGAAATTGGACTAAATGCACTTTTGCATTTTGTTGTAGCTGCAAGCCTATGGGGACCAGGGAGTGAAATGTGTTAGTTTGAATAGGAATGGCCCCCATAGATTCATGTGTTTGAATTTTTGGCCATAAGGAGTGGCACTATTTGTGGGTGTGGCCTTGCTGGAAGAGTGTGGCCTTGTTGGAGGAAATGTGTTTCTGTGGGGGCAGACTTTGAGGTCTCCTGTGCTCAAGCTGCACCCAATGTGGGGTAGCCTTTGGCTGCCTGCAGATCAAGATGTAGAACTCTCAGCTCTTTCTCTTGCACCATGTCTACCTGGATGCTGCCATGCTTCCCACCATGTTGATAACAAATGTTACCATCATTCTCATGTGTCCTCATAGATGTGACAATCTCAGAATTTTCTATTTAGCTTTGATAGTTTAGATGGGAGTCCTCTTTTGTTTTATGTTTTTGTTTTGTTTATGTTGACTTTTTTTTTCCAGGAGAATCTCTAACTATGTAGACCTGGTTTCCCTTGAACTGTGTAATGTAGCTTGAAATTTCCATCTTATAAATTAATACCTTTCTTTTCAGGTTTAGGGATATTTGCATTTCCAATTTTTCAGTTAAAAACACATACTTTGGGGCTGCAGAGATGGCTTAGAGGTTAAGAGTATCAAGCTCTTCCAGAGGTTCTGAGTTCAATTCCCAGCAAGGATGGTTCACAACCATCTGCAATGGGATCTGATTCCCTCTTCTTGCATGTGTGAAGACAGAGAGAGCACTCATATAACAAACAAACTTAATTTTACAAAGAACACTTACTTTGTTTTTGTTATTAATGTTGTCATAATTTTTTAATTGCATCTCATGTAATCCAAGCTGGCCTTGAACTCAGTGTCTAAACAAACAAGTATTCCACACACAGTTTGTCAGCCAGGTTGTGGTGTTGAGGATCCAACCCTGTGCTTTATGCATGCCAATCCTGGACTCTACAGATTAAGCTTCATTCCTAAACCCAAGAACCAATGCTTTTAAACACTTTTCTTTTTTTTATTTTTTAAAGATCTATCTATCTATCTTTCTATTTGTCTATTATGTATACGGTGTTCTGCCTATATGTATCCCTGCAGGACAGAAGAGGCTACCAGATCTCATTATAGATGGTTGTGAGCCACCATGTGGCTGCTGGAAATTGAACTAAGTACCTCTAGAAGAGCAGCAAGTGCTCTTAATCCCTGGGCCATCTCTCCAGCCCCCTTAAACACTTTTTTATATGAAACTTTAAAATATATATATATATATGTATGTTCTGTGTATGAGTGTTTTGCCTGCATGTATGTATGTCCACCATGTGTGTCCCAGAAACTGGTTGGATCCTCAGAACTGGGAACAGACAATTGTGAGTTGCAGTTTGGGAACTGAGTTCCCACAAGTGCAGTCTCCAATTCCTACTATATCTACTTCTTGATTTGATATATTTTATCAATAAGATATCCAATAGCCTAGCTACATACTGATTCTGACTTTAAACTAAGGGAACCAAAAAGGATCTATTACAGCTAAGAAGAGAGAACCATTAGTGCAGCAGCTTGACTGGAAACAGCAGGTAGATCACATAAATCCTCGAAAGAGAAGCCTTGCTGACAAGAACAAATTCGAAGGCAATTAGAGAAGAACTAGATTTATTGATACTTAGAGAAAGAGCTAAGAAGCTAAAGGCAAATCCTGGGTTTATAAGCTTTACATTTTTGGATATCTTTAGCCTTTATCTTTCTTTATCTTTAGGAGTTCTTAACTTACAATATACCTGGCACCCCAAACCTACTTTCTTTTTCCATAACCACATAGTTCTGGTACTACAAGTCCCAGAATCCCACGCTCCACCTCCATTACCTTCGAGTCCGCCTCACAGATTTCTGGGAGTTGAGGTCTGGGGCCTATTTACCCAAGTTAGTGATAGGGGCCTGCGGAAACATGAAAAGGTAAGGTCATGTCCGAGTTGCCGGTGGCAACTTTTATCTTATACTTTGAAAATTGCTTTTTCCTTTTGTTTGGGATGTTTTACGTTCTCGAAGGGCGGGTTTTCTCTAGCGAGAAGACAAAGGAGAAGGGGGGCAGGAAGGCCGGCCGGACCAGTCTGCTAGGTGAAGTTCTGGAAGGGCCCCTGCCAGGCCGGTTTCCATAGGAATGTTTCCCTCGGGCCAGAACCCTTGGTTGCTGCCTGGGTTCTCACATTCCTCTCTTTGGAGACCGGCAAGCCAGCTCCTTCCTGGCCGGCCCTCCCTGGGACGACTCACCCTACAGAGGGTCTCAGGGTGGTCATTGTCTAGATTTTAAAGACATAATGGGGCTGCAACACAGGGTAGTGTTTTCAGATACTAAAGTTAGAGAACGATAAGTTTTTTGTTTTTTTTTTTTTTTTCGAATTGAGCACAACACTGGCGCCACGTGTTTTGGGAGAAGAAAGGCATTACTTTAAGGCATTTTCTCCTACCGCTTTTGCAGTAAGTGGCCCTTTTAACCAGGGATGGCCCCGGTTGAGACCCAGAGCTTCACAGTTACTGACAGGACAGGAATCCTGCAGAAAGGATCCACTCTACTTTAGTTTTGTATTCACTCTGCAGGAGAATCTTCACGCTAGAACGTGCTGCACAACTTACATGTTGAGGAATGCTTTCTCCTGCTTTCTTAGTGCCTGAATTTTTAAAGATTTTCTGTTGTTGTTTTTAAGTTTTCTCTGCCTTAATTAGAAAGCAACATTTTAATTATTCTGTGATGTCATACCTCATAGATGAAAAATAAATTATCTATTGTATAGCTTAAAGAATAATCATAAAGGCTACAACTGTACAAGTGTAAGCAGTAGAACATTAACATACATAGCTGAAAAACCTCTTTGGTTCTTCCCTGATTGCTTCTCCCCCTTCTCTATAGGATTTTGCACCAATTATTCCCTTGCCCCCCCTTTTTAAAATAATTTATTTAATTTTATTTTATGTGCGTTAGTGTGAAGGTGTCAAATCCCTTGGAATTGGCGGTATAGACAGTTGTGAGCTGCCATGTGGGTGCTGAGAATTGAACCCTGGTCCTTTGGAAGAGCAGACAGTGCTCTTAATCACTGAGCCATCTCTCCAGCCCCCTGTTTTGTTTCTTAACACATTTCCACATATAAATTTAATCCCTGAACGAAATATTTCTAGTTTCATTTGTTTTTAATCTTATATAAATGGGAACATAATTGTCTTTATTTTTTCTGTGGCAAGCTTTTTTAACACAACATTTCTCTATAGATTCATGTGTGCTAATATGCTTATTCATTTTTTCTGCCATCAGTTCAACAATAGTGAGTTTTTATTGTTTTCCCAATAAAAGCAGTTTGTATCTTTAAAATATTCAAAATCATTTGTGACTAAACCTTGAATGTAGCAAATAGCAGTAATAGATTGATAGGGTATACTATGAGATAATTAGCCAAATGCAGTTTGTTGTTAACATGAATTTATGCCAATAATCCAACATGGCACAGTAGTAATGTCATAATGTATCTTTGGAGACTCTTTCTTTTTTTCTATTTGAAATGAAAAACTTTGAGGGTGACAATAAGTAGAGATTTTGCTTTCATGTTTTAGCAGTCAGTATGGCAGTAGTTAGAAAGATTTAATGAGAATTTCCTAAAGGAGCCCATTTTAGACATGTATCATTTGTTTGAAGCTCATCTTGTCAAATCTGTCAGAACAACTGGTCAAAATGTCTAATGGGTCATTGGCCAGAAAACACCAGTTAACGGAAAATTATATCTTCGTGGTGTTTTACAATTTGAAAAAAATTTACCAAATACTCCATTCTTTTCACAACCACAAAGAGGCACAAATAGATCAAATTTATAGCCAACATATTCAAACAAAAAAAGTTTAGTGAGAGAATCTAGGAGAATTACTCATGAATATAAAGGCTGTGAGACCAAATCTAATTCCTAGACAAAATAAATAAATAGATAAATAAATCATAATTTTCTACTATAGTTGCTACATATATTTCACCAATATTTAAAGTATGTAGCATATTATTAAATAGCTCATATATAACCTTACTTTAACTAGCTATTCTCCATGGACTTCAGAGACAGGTCTTGGAAACATGTCTGGGAGCTACAGAAGATTAAGGAAGACAGTAACATAAAGGTAAAGAAAGGCCAGCCATGCACTCTGGTGGAGATGCATCAGAAGCCTGGATTCTCAGAACCTTTGTGTGATATACCATGATGAGAAAGTGGTTTAGCAAGTCATTGTATAGGGTATGCTTATTCATTTTTAACAACAAATTCTAAATAATGGAGAGTCTTAAATGGTTGTAAAAAAAATTCATTCCAAAGTTATTTTAGAATCTTTCAATATAGGTCCAGGTTTTTATAGGAATCTTACAATTAGAAGGATTTTTCCTGTACTTTATATAAACCCCAGTAGACAAAGTCTTTTTTGTAAGAAATATAATACTTATTTTTTTCTCATTGATTTCACTTATTTTTGTGGTTGGTTTTTATTTTCTACTCTATTATTAGATAGTTAAAGGGTTGCGGGGTTTCTTTTCTTTTCTTTTTTTTTTTTTTGTACTTGATCTTGGCTCATAGACATGATCCAGGTATCTACACAGTAGAGTGGGAGTCTGGAAGTTGTTAACTTGACATGCTTCGTATTTTCTGCTCATCCTGCAGAATTTCTTCTCTAAGGACTTCAGATCTATGTACACAAATGGCTTAAGGTTTCTCAATGTTCAGGCTCAGACTGTTCACCCTGTAAGAATATGCCATCATTCACTTGCCTCTTAGTCACTTTTAGTGTTACTTCACAGGCAATGTATGGGAAGTGTACTTTACACCAGTCTTTTAGAGTTGTAAGAGTTGGTCAACTCAATGTGGGTATTTAATGGCACTTTCCTAGGCATTTCTTCCATCTGGAATTCTTTTCCTACTTTGGTAGTAACATTCTGTCAAATTCTTTCAGTGGTTTGAAATTTTTGCTATACCAGCAGTTTGAAATTTGTGTATTGGCTGGGGAAGGTAGCACATGCCTTTAACCAGCACCCAGAGGCAGGTGGATCTTTTTGAGTTTAAGGGTCTTTGTGAGTTTAGGGTTTCTTCAGAGAGAAACCCTACCTCAGATAACCAAAAAGAAAAAGGAAAGAAAAATTTGTGTTATTTCATTTACCTATCTACCTATCTACCTATCTACCTATCTATCTATCTATCTATCTATCTATCTATCTATCTATCTATCTATCTTACTTAACATCATCCTCCAAAAGATAGCTCTCATTTGTTCCTTCCTATGTATTTCTGCTATTACTGCCTTGTCTGCACCTTCATTGCCTTATGCTTTAGTAGTTTTCTTACTAGTTATTCTAGTTATCTTCTAATCCATATAGCCTAAAATACTGCTTACTCTTTGACACCTAATGGCCTGATAATTTGCTTTCTAATACCTGTGTGATCGGGTCTGGTCTAGAATCCCTTACTTCATGTATTTAAGAGTACATCTAAATAGAGGTTCCAGTTGTCCCGCAGTATGTGTTCTGTCTCTTTATATTTGATTTCCCACCTCTCCATTTGTTTGCCCCACCCACACTTTCAAATACCAGTTTAAGAAAAACTTTCTGAAGTCTTTTTTTTTGCCACTTGCGCTCCAGTTTGCCCCTTTCTTCTGCAAACTTTTACTAATTTGAACATGTTTCTCTATTATTATTTATTCAGATTCTTTCTCTTTGTAGGCACATGCACACAGCACAAGTGTATAGACCTCTTCCTAAATATATTACAAATTCCTTGATCAAAACTATGCCTTGAATATCTAAAACTTCCACAAGTAGTATCTTAGTTAAGTTTTCTATTGCTGTGAGAAACTGCCATGACCAAAAGCAACTTGGGGATGAAAGGGTTTATTCTAGCTTACACTGTCAGGTTACAGACCATCACTGAGGGAAGTCAGGACAGGAACTCAAACTGGGCAGGAGCTTGGAAGCAAGGATCTAATGCATAGGCCATGAAGGGTGCTGCTTACTGGCTTGCTTCTCATGGATTGTGTAGCCTGCTTTTCTTAATAGAACTTAGGACTACCAGCCCAAGGGTAGCACCATGCACAGTGAGTGTGGCCCTCCCATATCAATTATCAAGCAAGAAAGTTCACCATACACTTGTCCATAGGCCAGTTTTTGAGAGCATTCCCTTAATTCAGGTACCCTCTTCCAAAATGACTCTGGCTTGTGTTATTTGACATAAAACTAGCCAGTACAAGTAACTAAGACAATACCTATTCCATGCATAGGCATTTAGTAAATGTTTGTATTATCAATACTTAGGGCAGGGGAATGTTGAAGAAATGTCTTTGTACAAATGGATCACTAATAGGTAATATAGATAAGGAATATATTTTTGGATTATATGTCTTGTCTGCTTTTCCTGTGGTCTTTGCTTTTTTGTTTATTTGTTTGTTTTACATCTACTCCAGGGTAAATAGCTGTGTGAAAAGTGAAGAACATGTCCTGGAGGAACTGGAAACAGAAGGTGAGAGGCAGCTGAAGAGCCTCCTTCAACATCAACTCGATACCTCTGTCTCCATTGAAGAGTGAGTATTGATTTGAAAACAGATTATAATAGACTCACCTGCAGGTTATACATCCCTCGTAAAGCCTGATCAGAGCACTTCTCTCTCACACAAACACTTTCTTTGAAAGACCTTTTTATACAAAATCAGATTTTGCTATTGTATCTTTCTGTAGGAAGTTTCCTATGTCATGCTAAGCCTAAGCTGAGTACTTTTACTGTGTCCTACTAAGCATCTTGCATATCCTCTAACATGACGTTTATAATTCTGTATGGTTATTTCCTAATTAGTTGCTTCCTTTCTACTATTTTTTATATAAGTGGTACCTCTTTTGATATTTTTATAGAAGACTATTTTGTCCATGAGTGTCTATGTGTGTGTGTGTGTGTGTGAGAGAGAGAGAGAGAGAACGTTAATTTATGTGACCCACATATGTGCCAGTGTCTGCAGAGGCCAGAGGGTTTTGGATCTCCTGGTACTGGAGTTTCAGGTGATTGTGAGTTGCCCTGTGGGTGCTGGGAACTGGCTTAAGTCCCCTGCAAAATCAGTAAGAGCTCTTAATTGTTGCACCATCTTTCTAGCCCCTTGATTTTTTTTTTTTTTTTTTTACTGTTAACTCTTAGTATAAAACGCAGCATCTAATACATAGCAGGTACTCAGTAAACCTCTTTTAATTTAGTCATTTATTAGTCCTGGATGTTTGGGGGCTGTTGGTGGAATTCCGTTTTGGTTCCATGGTGCTTCCTGGCAATAGAATGTGAGAGAGACTTTGCCTATGAGCTTCATTTGACCTGTTATAATAGGAGACCCCATTACTGTGACTTGTAACCACAAGTTGTTCTTACTCTCTTCTTCTGTGTTTTGCAGATGTGTCTCTAAGAAAGAGAGTTTTGCCCCTGGTACTATGTACAAGCCCTTTGGGAAGGAAGCAGCTGGGACAATGACTTTGTCCGAGTTCCAGACACTACATGAAAAAGACCAGGAAACTGCTTCTCTCAGGGAACTAGGGCTCAGTGAAACAGAAATATTGATCTGGAAAGGCCATGTTTCAGGTGAAAAGGTAAAAAAAAAGAGCTGTTTTCTTACAAATTTATTTTCATATATGTGTATTTGTGCCTGTGTTGATAAAATCTCTTCCCTAAGAGAGACTTAGAGCAACATCTACCCTGTCTCCCAGGATCCCAACAACAAACCAACAAACTATGGCACAGTTCTGCCAAAATTCACTCAGGGAAACCAATGAGTTTATTGAGTTTCCTCACAGAGCTTAGGTTAAGGGGTACCGATAAGGGTGTGGGCATGACTCGCTCAACAAGCTATGCCTGAAAAGACTTACCCAACACTGATGAGGGCCTTCCCATAGCCACAAGCCCCTCGCTAGTGTTCTGTGGCCTCTGTATACTCTAGCCCTCTCCCAGATCACATATATTATTTCCAGTTGATAGGGAGTGGTAGGATACTCAGAAGATAAATCTTATGCCCAATTCTGCCTCTATGCTGGGGTTTGTAAACCATCAACCAGCTTTAGGATGATATTTTGCAAGAGGGCACAGCTGAACTCCCCTACATAGTGATTGTTTCATTTTGTCATTGAAATCCTTTATGTTTTGAGTTTTTTGAAACTGAGTGTTGCGTCTGAATCATCTTTAGTTTTTCCTGTAGAAACATTGGCTAAAGATAAGATGCTGGCTTACCTTTAATTAAAACTTCCACAAACACTTCCATTTTCTGGGCCTTTCTCATCTTTTTTCTTATGTGAGGCCTCGGATTCACTTTAGTGCTGTGTCCTTTTTGATATAAAGCATCTTATTTCCCTGTTTTCAGAGGATAAAGCTAAGGGCAACTCCCGAAGCAATACAGAAACGGCTTCAAGATATTGAAGAAAGGATCTCAGAGCGCCAGCGTATCCTTTGCCTGCCACAGAGGTTTTCAAAGAGCAAACAACTGACCCGAAGAGAAATGGAAATCGAAAAATCCTTATTTCAGGGGACTGATCGTCACTCCTTCCTTAAGGCTCTTTATTACCAAGGTATGGGATCCTCACTGACTCTGAACTGTTCTTTAATTGAAAGAAAGATTTTAACATCAGGGCATTAGATATGGGGAATTAGTAAAAGACAAGATATCACTACTATTGAGAAATATATAGTCTCATGAGAGAGACACAAATTTGTATATAGTTACTTGCATGGTAACATGGAAAGTGTTGCTATGGAGAGTTTAATCAAATGCCAAGGTGGCATAGAACACAGAACATCCAAATCTAGTTGTGGGAGTTGGAAGTTGACATTTGTATTATCTTGACAGGGCAACTGGCATATTTTTAATGTAAAGGGAAAAGAACATTACAGCTAGTGAGTGGATAGGAGCCACGTGATGAAAGACCTGGTATATGTAGGGAACAGTGAGGTCGTCTGTGTGGCAGTGAAACAGGTTATGGCAAGAAATGACATCTGATACACGAAAGGGAAATAAAGCTAGATTATGATGAATCTTTAGACTGAACTGTAAAATAGTGCAAAATATATACATAAACAATATGTGTCTTAACCATAAAGAATTCATTCTGCATGGTTGAAAGCACACAGAAAGGGTTTATGAAATGGTTTCTAGCCCTGTACTAGTCAGCTTGGAGATGCCCATGTATACTCTGTAGAAGTAATATTAGATATAGTGGCTCTTGGTGCCACAGAAGTTCAGAGTTTTAGTGGTATGACTGAAGAAGGCCTCTCAGAAGAGGTAAGATTTAAATATGCTTTTAAGCTTATCTATTAGACAAGAGGGGAAATAGCATTTCAGTTGCAGTAATTGGTGTGAGCACTGTTAATTGGGTGCAGTTTAAGAGATCAGCTTGAAAAGGTAGCTCAGAATTTTTGCCTCTTCTTTGTTAGATGATGCAAAGGTATATGGTGTTAGTTTTTTGAGTTAATACATTTGAATATAGTAAGATGATAAAAACTGTATTTGGAAATAATTAATGTGGTGGTCAAGAAAGGAACTCAGAGAAAGGAAAGAGAATGGCATTAAAGTCACTGAGTTATCAATATCTAGACTGGAATGACATCAGTGGAATTGAGAGATGGAATTAGTTGTATGTGATATGTCAAAGGAATACTTGATAAAACCTATTGACTGAGAGTGAAGGATCATTGACTAAGAATGAAGTGAAGAGGAATATGGCAAGATAAGTCAGAAAGGCCATGTGACTTAACAGTTGGTAAAATTAACTCTTTAGGGGACTATTTTGAAGAAGGATGGTGTGTTTTCATTTGAACATGTTGAATTTGTGAGAATGGTGGGATTAGCATATGTTGATACTGATGCAGAAATGAAGCAGTGAAGCTGAGAAGTCAGAAGTGAGTCTATGGAGCTAGGACTCATCTCTGTTTCAATTCTATGTTAAAGTTGCATGAGGGATTGAATGGTGTGTTAAAGATATATACAGGTGGCCGAGCTGTGGTGAAGGATGGAAGGAACAATTGAGCAGCTTTCTGTAAAGAGGCATTATGGCATACTGAATGTGAGCATAGACTCTGGAAGCAGCCTGCCTGGGAAAAGTCTGGCTCCCCAACTTACTAGCTGTGAAGTGGTGCTCATGTTACCTAATCTCTATGCTTTAGTTGCTTCCTCTGTGAAATGAGACTATCCATAGTAGCTGTGGTATGGCGTTGTTAGGAGGATTAAATGAGGTAATACCTGGAAATCAGAGTGGTGCCTGGGATTGGGGTGGGGGGTGGGAGTGTGTGAGTCTCTGTTGTGTTTCCTCTCTTTGAAACTCCTTGCTTTAAACCTTCACAGCATACCACAAAGACAAGTGCAAACAAGTACATGACCTCAATGAAGAGGAAGATAAAATTAGGCACAAAAGGCAAGTTGAGAGTTTTCTTACAGTGTTAGATTTAGGAATGTAAACTAGGGTTCCAGGCTTCTAAGTTGAGCACTTATTTATTTCCATATTCACTATACGACAATGTTTGTAGGAAATGATCCAGAAAGAACATATTTTCCTGATAAGAAATATTAAAGAGAGGAGTTAGTAGAAGTTGTCAAGATTTTACATTTATTTTTGTTTTTACTTCTATAGTTTTATTGTGCCAGACGTACATTGACCTTGCTGAATTTTAGATCCCATTGCACAAATAATTCTGAATACCATTAATCAGTGTAACTGTTGATAATGATGATAATTATATCAAAACTAGCATTTTATTTTGAATTGAACTTGTATTAAAATTGCATGGGGCCTTTCCTGGTGTACAATTCTGTGAATTGTAAATCATGTAGATTTCATGTATCCACTACCACAATCAAGAGAGGGAACAACTCCATCACTCAGACAAGCTCTCCTCATTCTATCCCCTTTAGAGTCACTCCCATTGCTCGCCCGAGTTCCTGGCAATCACTTCTCTCCATTATTTCTGCTTTATCTTTTAGAGACTGTCATGTAAATAGAATCATGCAGTGTGTGACATTGTGAGGCTAGCTTCTTTCAATCAGCATAATGCTTTTGAGACTCATCCAAGTTGTTAATATCAATAACTCATTCATTTTTGTGGAGTTTCATTTCATTGTATGAATATTCCATATCTATTTACATATTGCAGTGGATTTGGGTTTTCCAGGTTATGGTCTTTATATGAATGATATTGCTGTTAACATTCTTGTGTAGGTTTTTGTGTGAACATAAGTTTTTATTTTTCTAAGGTAAATATCTAGAAGTGGGATTACTGGGTCATATGGTAAGTGCACATTTAACTTTATCTGAAACTGCCAAACCATCTTCCAGAGTGGCTGTACCATTTTGCATTCCCACCAATGGTGTATGAAAGTTCACTTGCTCTACATCTTTGTCAGTATTCGGTATTGTCAGTATTTATTGTGATTGTCCTGATAGGTGTGAAGTGATGCCTCCCTGTTGTTTTAATGTGCCTTTTCTTAATGGCTAATGATGCTGAGCATCTCTCCATTTGCTTTTTTGCCATCATTATATTTGTTTGTTAAAGTTTCTTTTCACATCTTTGTCATTTTATCATTGGGTTGTTTTTCCTTCATAATGAATTTTGAGATTCCTTTATATATGCTAAACATGGTCGTCTGTCAGATGTGTGCTTTACAAATATTTTTTCACAGTCTGGAGCTTGTCATTTCATTCCTTTGAAGTATGTTTTTAATTGTGCTTAAATATACATAACATAAAATTTACTATTATAATTATTTTTAAGTAATCACTTCTGTGGCGTTAAGTATATTCAGATAGTTCTGTAACTATTACCACTGTCCAGCTCCAGAGCTTCTAAAGTTATACACATTAAAAGCTACTTTATCTTACCTCACAACCCCTGCCTTCTAGCAGCTTCCATTCTACTTTTTGTGAATTTGACTACTCTATGTATCTCACATAAATAGAATTGTGCAATATTTTTCCTTTATGATTGGGTTATTTTACTTTAGCCTAAATGTCTTCGTTGCTAATTCACATTGTAGCATGTGTCAAAATTCCATTCCTTTTTAAAGGCTGCATAATATTTCATTGTATATACATACTGCTTTTTTGATCAATTCATTCATCAGAGGACACTTCAAGTATTTCCATTTTATATATATTGTAGGTAATACTGATATGAACATTGGTGCACAAATGTTTGATATCTGCTTTTAGTTCTTTCAATACATATATAGAAGTAGAATTGCTGGATCCTATAATAACTCTATGGTTACTTTTTTGATGCACCACCCTACTGATCTTCATATAGACTGCCATTTTGCATTCCTACCAGCAATGCACAAAAGTTCTAGTTTCTCTAAATACTCAGGAACACATGTTATTTTGGGGGCTTTCTCTTTTTAGATAATTGCTACTTTAAAAGTCATGACTTATTATAATTTTGATTTGCATTTTCCTACCTAATGCTGCTGTGTATTTTTTCATATACTATTTGACTATTTTATGAATAGATATCTATTCAAGTGTCTAGATATTAATCACTTCTCAGGTACATGATTTGTACCTATTTTCTCTTGTTATATACCTATTTATTTTTTATACTATCCTTTAATGCACAGCATTTTCTCATTTTTATTCCTTTTTTGTTTTGTTTGTTTGTTTGTTTGTTTGAAACAGGGTTTCTCTGTGTAGCCCTGGCTGTTCTGGAACTCACTCTTACACAGCTTGGCCTTGAACTCTGAGAGATCCACCTGCATCTGCTTCCTGAGTCCTGGAATTAAAGGTTTGAGCCACTACCACCCAGCTGTTTTTTTCTCCTTATCTATGATTTTATTAGCATATATAAGAGATCATTGCCAAATAATCAGGAAGCATTTCCTCTGTTACCTTGTAAGCTGTTATGGTTTATGTTGTTGTTGTTGTTTAGGTCTTTGATCCATTTTGAGTTAATTTTTGCATATAGCATGAGTTAAGGTTCATAGTACATAGGTCATAGTACACTAGTTGCTATTCAGTTTTCACAGGGCAATTTTTCAAGACTGTTCTTTCTGCACTGAATCTTTCTGTTCTGTCCAGAGGTCATTTATCATATGGATGAGAGTTTATTTCCAGGCTCTTTTATGGTATATGTGTCTGGCTTTTTACCAATAGCATGCTGTTTTGGTTACGTTGAGACAGGGTCTCTTTACATAGCCATGGCTGTCCTGGAACTCACTCTATAGACCTGGCTGGCTTTAAACTCACAGATATCCACCTGCCTTTTCCTCCCAAGTGCTGGGATTAAAATTGTGTGTCTCCATACATGGCATGGAGAACGCTTTTTTGTAGTTAAGATTTGCAATCAGGAAGTAATAATATATAATACTTATGGCATTTTTCACATTGTCTTGGTGATTTTGGTGGTTCCTTGAGATTTCATGTGAATTTTAGAGTAGAATATTTTATTTCTACAAAACTAGGTTGTTGACATTTTGGTTGACATTTTGGAGTGAATTGAATCTGAAGAGACCTTTGGCTAGTGTGTCCATTCTTTAATGGTATCAAGTCTTCTAAATGACCATGAGTTCTTAAATGCTATTTGTGTG